GTGAAATCGATTTTTGGGAGATGTCTCAAATGTAAAATAAATAAAAGTAAACCACAACCGCCATTAATGGGTCAACTTCCTGAAGTAAGACTGACGAGAGGGCTCAGGCCATTTAAGAATGTTGGCATGGATTATTTCGGTCCCTTCTCCATCAAAATTGGTAGAAGACGAGAGAAACGCTGTGGTGTGATATTCATTTACCTAGCAGTGAGGGCAATTCATCTTGAAGTAGCACATACATTGAATAGTGATTCCACCATAATGTCTGTAATCAGAATGTCGGCAAGAAGATGATGTCCTCCAATAATCTATTGCGACAATGGAACTAATTTGAGAGGCACATCCAGAGAAATAAAAGAAACCATGCAAAACATTAACATGCCTTCAGTAAAAAATTCAATGTATTCGAAAGGCATCGACTTCAAATTCCTACCACCGGCTTCCCCACACATGGTAGGAGTATGGGAACGGTTAATTGGAAGTGTGAAAAGAGTTATAGGAAAGATTCTTCATGGTCAAGCTCTTACTCCCATGCATTTTTTGTTGGGATATTCCAACACCACGCACGAGCCTACATTACTTCCAATAAACCCTGATGCTAATAGATTGAGCCGCGAATGGAAAAAATCTCGAATGTTGGTTGACACATTTTGGGACAGATGGGTGAAAGAATTTCTTCCACGTTTGACGAAAAGAAGTAAGTGGCCCAACGACAGCAAACCCATCGCAGAGGGTGATATAGTAGTTGTGGTCGACGACCAAGCTCCACGATATAAATGGAAATTAGGAAAAGTCATAGATGTGCATCAGGCACAGATGGACGAGTTAGGGTGGTAGACGTCAAGAGCGTATTCAGAATGTCGACGACCAGTAACTAAGATCTGCAAATTGGAACTAGAAGACTGAGTTGATTCTTCTAGAGAGGGAAGAAATGTTGATTATTTGATTAGTTTTGAGTTATTTATTTATTTTTTTCTGACCGGGATATTAAAAGCTTATATCGTCATAGTTACGCTATCAATAAAGAGGGTCATAACTCCCTTGGGACATTATAGATTTTATAATTCCCTCTACCTTTCACAAGTAAAAATAAATAGAAATGAAAACTGAACCATATTTTATTTATTCACGTCATTACAAATAATAAATGTACAATTTTGAAATGTTCCCTGAAAATTACTTCCGCCACTGGAAACAATTTCTTCTTTTGTATGGCTGGAGCTTCTGTTCACTACAGTCGAGGTACC